TATGCATGGATAGTGATTATATTATGAAGATATATTATACACGCATCAGCAAATTATTAATGTTAATGTGTAATTTAAGCAGATAATAATTTGTATTGCTTAATAATCTATTCTTTTCTGATGTCAATATAAATGGACGTAAATATAATTTAGGAATCAATTGTTCTTCGTGATGGCAATGACGAACTTGATATGAATGGCATGGACAAAAATAGCATGCTGTTTGGAGGTACAAAGGTTCTACAAGTAACTCCTCCTCAAGAAGATATTCTTTCTGGTAAGTTTGAAGCTATTTTATCCTGATAAAATATAAAATTAATATGATCTAATGATGATTATAATTTGTTAGCTCCGGATAATGGATGTATTGCCTATGTTATTCGCACCGGATTTGGAACTGCTCAGGGGAAACTCGTGCGTACAATGGTGTATAGTACTGAGCATGTGTCAGCAAACAATTTAGAATCCTTCTTGTTTATCTTATTCTTATTGATTTTCGCAATTTCCGCGGCCGCATATGTTTGGGTTAAAGGCAAGCAATTTTCATTATCGTGATGAATGCCTACTTATTTGGAAAAAATTTGTCGATTATTAACCGTTAATAATAAACGTTAATAGGTGTTGAAGATGGCCGTAAAAGGTCAAAGCTCTTGCTCGATTGTATTTTAATTATTACATCAGTTGTACCTCCGGAATTGCCAATGGAACTTTCTTTGGCAGTTAACACCTCGTTGGTCGCATTGGCTAAATTTGGTGAGACACTAAGTCTTTAGAAAGATGATCTCAAAAAAAAAAAAAAACAATAAGATACATTTAATTTTGACATGGTACATAAATATTTAGCTATTTATTGCACTGAACCATTCAGGATTCCTTTTGCCGGAAAAATTGATGTTTGTGCTTTCGATAAAACTGGTACCTTAACTGGTGAAAATCTTGAAGTTGAAGGAATTGCTGGAATACAGTAAGCCACTTGATAGTTTAATTTAAGAGTATTTTCTAGCGTTTACCAACAAATTTTATACCAATTCGTAATTACAATGTAAAGTCCCGAAGATTCAAAGATTTTGGTAAAACCACCGGATGCTTTACGGGAATCAATCCAAACTCTGGCTGCCGCACATGCTTTAGTCAAATTAGATGATGGCATTGTCGGCGATCCTATGGAAAAAGCCACGTTGGAAGCGTTGGATTGGAAACTTGGCAAAGGTTTGTACATTTAATATGCTTATTTATCTTTTTTACATGATTAAGGTTTCGTTAAGGTTAAGCTTTGTTTTAACGCCTAAAGGCGATACTGTTATTCCTGCGAATCAACAATCGCAACGTTTTCAACAAAGATCACAATTACAAATTCGTCGCAGATTTCAATTTTCATCCGCACTTAAGCGTATGTCAAGTGTCTCGACAATTCCAACATCCCGTCTTAAAAAAACTTTTGTTGCGGTTAAAGGCGCACCCGAAACATTGCGTAATATGTACGTTTATGTACCTGACGACTATGAAGAAACATTCAAGTTTTTTATGCGTAGAGGAAGTCGGGTTTTGGCTCTGGGATACAAATATTTAAAAGATAATATGAATATGGATGAGGTATAGTATCAATCATTGAAAATTTTAATTTTGTAATTATTAATTATTATCAATTCTAACAACAATTTCTAATAGATTAATGAATTGTCACGAGAATCTGTTGAAAGTGAATTAACTTTTGCTGGATTTCTTATTTTTCATTGTCCGCTCAAAGATGATGCTGTATCTACTCTCGAGATGCTGAATGAGTCTTCTCATAGGGTATATTATACTTATTATACCGTATATTCTTATGGATTTCAATTAAGCGACAATTATTTTTGTTTAAAAAAAAAAAAAATTGTATAGGTTATTATGATCACTGGAGATAATCCTTTAACAGCGTGTCACGTAGCACGCGAAGTGAAAATTCTCGAACGCGATGTATTAATTCTTGATCTTCGCGAAGATGCCCAGAATAATAATGGTATCTTAATTTATGACACATCATATTGTATGTTTTTGCTACTATTTACTAATGATTACTGCCTACAGATCTTGTTTGGAAATCAGTTGATGAGAAAGTCATTATACCTGTCAATCCTGCAGAACCAGTCGATCTATCAGTTTATCGTGACTACGACCTATGTATAACAGGTGCAGCGCTAGCATGTTATGAAAACAAACCCTCTGTAAAAGATCTACTAGTCCACACGTGGGTGTATGCACGTGTTTCTCCAGGGCAAAAGGTATATTTGATAAACTGCTATGTTAATATTTACAAGTGATATATTCATGACGCTGTATATTATGCTAGGAATTTATATTGACTGTCCTTAAGCAAGCTGGATATATTACATTGATGTGTGGTGATGGGACAAATGATGTTGGTGCTCTTAAGCAAGCTCATGTCGGCGTTGCGCTTCTTGATGGCAAACCCGAAGATCTTAAGAAAATTGCTGAACACCAACGAATACAAAGACTTAAAGATGTATACGAAAGTCAATTAAAATTTACTTCGAGATTGTATTTTAATTATTACATCAGTTGTACCTCCGGAATTGCCAATGGAACTTTCTTTGGCAGTTAACACCTCGTTGGTCGCATTGGCTAAATTTGGTGAGACACTAAGTCTTTAGAAAGATGATCTCAAAAAAAAAAAAAAACAATAAGATACATTTAATTTTGACATGGTACATAAATATTTAGCTATTTATTGCACTGAACCATTCAGGATTCCTTTTGCCGGAAAAATTGATGTTTGTGCTTTCGATAAAACTGGTACCTTAACTGGTGAAAATCTTGAAGTTGAAGGAATTGCTGGAATACAGTAAGCCACTTGATAGTTTAATTTAAGAGTATTTTCTAGCGTTTACCAACAAATTTTATACCAATTCGTAATTACAATGTAAAGTCCCGAAGATTCAAAGATTTTGGTAAAACCACCGGATGCTTTACGGGAATCAATCCAAACTCTGGCTGCCGCACATGCTTTAGTCAAATTAGATGATGGCATTGTCGGCGATCCTATGGAAAAAGCCACGTTGGAAGCGTTGGATTGGAAACTTGGCAAAGGTTTGTACATTTAATATGCTTATTTATCTTTTTTACATGATTAAGGTTTCGTTAAGGTTAAGCTTTGTTTTAACGCCTAAAGGCGATACTGTTATTCCTGCGAATCAACAATCGCAACGTTTTCAACAAAGATCACAATTACAAATTCGTCGCAGATTTCAATTTTCATCCGCACTTAAGCGTATGTCAAGTGTCTCGACAATTCCAACATCCCGTCTTAAAAAAACTTTTGTTGCGGTTAAAGGCGCACCCGAAACATTGCGTAATATGTACGTTTATGTACCTGACGACTATGAAGAAACATTCAAGTTTTTTATGCGTAGAGGAAGTCGGGTTTTGGCTCTGGGATACAAATATTTAAAAGATAATATGAATATGGATGAGGTATAGTATCAATCATTGAAAATTTTAATTTTGTAATTATTAATTATTATCAATTCTAACAACAATTTCTAATAGATTAATGAATTGTCACGAGAATCTGTTGAAAGTGAATTAACTTTTGCTGGATTTCTTATTTTTCATTGTCCGCTCAAAGATGATGCTGTATCTACTCTCGAGATGCTGAATGAGTCTTCTCATAGGGTATATTATACTTATTATACCGTATATTCTTATGGATTTCAATTAAGCGACAATTATTTTTGTTTAAAAAAAAAAAAAATTGTATAGGTTATTATGATCACTGGAGATAATCCTTTAACAGCGTGTCACGTAGCACGCGAAGTGAAAATTCTCGAACGCGATGTATTAATTCTTGATCTTCGCGAAGATGCCCAGAATAATAATGGTATCTTAATTTATGACACATCATATTGTATGTTTTTGCTACTATTTACTAATGATTACTGCCTACAGATCTTGTTTGGAAATCAGTTGATGAGAAAGTCATTATACCTGTCAATCCTGCAGAACCAGTCGATCTATCAGTTTATCGTGACTACGACCTATGTATAACAGGTGCAGCGCTAGCATGTTATGAAAACAAACCCTCTGTAAAAGATCTACTAGTCCACACGTGGGTGTATGCACGTGTTTCTCCAGGGCAAAAGGTATATTTGATAAACTGCTATGTTAATATTTACAAGTGATATATTCATGACGCTGTATATTATGCTAGGAATTTATATTGACTGTCCTTAAGCAAGCTGGATATATTACATTGATGTGTGGTGATGGGACAAATGATGTTGGTGCTCTTAAGCAAGCTCATGTCGGCGTTGCGCTTCTTGATGGCAAACCCGAAGATCTTAAGAAAATTGCTGAACACCAACGAATACAAAGACTTAAAGATGTATACGAAAGTCAATTAAAATTTACTTCGAGATTTAACATGCCACCTCCACCCCCGCCACCAGCAATTGCACATTTATTCCCACATATTACACAACAACTTCAGCAACAAAATAATACGGGACATGGTCAAAGACGACCTCCTCCTCAGGTTTGGTGTCTTCTTTCTATTTTGAAAGGTATTTTAATTCGCAAATAAATTTAATTTTATCGTTTATTTAAAGATGGATCAACTCGCGGAACATCTTTTACAAGACTTCGATGATGAACCACCGACCATTAAGCTAGGAGATGCATCAGTAGCAGCGCCTTTTACATCTAAGCTTTCAAATGTGGTAGCAAGTAAGGGTTCTCAAATATGGTTGTAATTCATGTGATTGAAAATGTTTGTCATCTATTAAAATCTTTTTGTTTTTTTGACAGTTGCAAATATTGTCCGTCAGGGTCGTTGTACATTGGTTGCCACTATTCAGATGTACAAAATTTTAGCTTTAAATTGTTTAATCTCTGCATACAGTCTGAGCGTGTTATATTTGGAAGGAATTAAATATGGCGATTTGTAAGTTCAATATCACACAATTCAAATCATTTTTTTTAAGCATTTTGGTTTAAGGACTTAATTATTTAATTTTGAACTCGATATTTTTAGGCAAGTTACTATTTCTGGCATGTTACTTGCCGTTTGTTTCCTTTGTATTTCAAAAGCTAAGGTAACTTATTATTTTTTTCTAAAGTGTTTAAGGTACATCATAATTTTTTACATTGTTTGTATGTCTAATACAACGAATTCTCTAGCCATTAGAAAGGCTTGCCAAGCAACGACCACAAACAAACGTTTTCAATTTTTATATTATTCTATCCATTCTCGGTCAATTCGCTATTCACATAGCATCTCTTGTTTACATAGTAGATTTAGTATTTCGTTATGAAGAGTATGTATAAATAATGAATTTAAAAATGGTAATACTAATTTTTGTATATGACTGCAGACCTTTGATTTTGTTTACTATGTAGGAGGACAGCTGTCGACCTCGAAGGAGATTTTAAACCAAGTCTATTAAACACAGCAGTATATTTAATATCGTTATCTATGCAAGTTTCCACGTTTGCTATTAATTATCAGGTATAATGGGTCTTTCACTCAAATATTTAGACGTATGGTTATTATTAATGCTTGCATATGAATCGTAATTATATTATATTCAAAATAACTAGGGACATCCTTTCAGAGAAAGCCTGAAAGAAAATACCGCATTGTATTATGGCTTGCTATCTGTAGGCGCAATCGCCTTATCTGGTGCTACCGAATTTAGTAAGGGCTTTCGAATTTTTGTGATTTGTTTTTAAACGACTTAAAATTAATGTAAAAATTTTAAATCTGAAGTTCCCGAAATGAATTCTATGCTGCAATTGGTTCCACTCAAATCTGAGGTATTTATTTCTCGATTGTTCTCACCTAGAGCTTTCCTTACATAAATTGAAAGATATGAATCTCAGAGTTTCTTTAATTTCTTTCCCACTAGTTCAAACATCATCTCACTGCTATTATGCTTTTTGACTTTGTCGGCGCGTGGCTTATCGAAATTCTGTTTAAATTTCTATTCTCCAATAATAAACCTAAAGCTATTGCTCATAGAACGCCAAAATCAGGAAAATAATCTCAGGACAATCCTAGATATTGTTTTTTAAACAAAAAAAAAAAAATTCATTTTAATTCAATTCACATAAAAACGAAATTGTATTAATATTTTAGATTTGTGGGGACTTTTGTTGTTTGGATTATAGAATATTCAAAGTTACTGAAATTTTATTGTAAAAAATGAAGTTTTTAAAAAAAATATATATATTTCAATTTAATACAAAATTACCATAAGGCTTTATTATACGGTTGAGTTGTTAATTGTTACGCATTATTGACAATTAAAATAGATTCGATCCGATCGGTTTAGCGTATATTTTTTCATGAACGGATAATTTAGCACAAAAAAAAGACGCTTTCAAAATTGTGCTACACAATTGCGCCATTTTAGCCCATTTGTGCTCGAACTCGCATTTGCTTTTGGAAATTTGCTTACAAAATGGGAAACTCAAGGTGTCA